CAGTTGCCATTGTAATCTGAGGACTACCCGTACTTGGAAAATTTGTTTTTATTGAGGGTTGACTTCAATATGACCAATTATTGAGCAAAATGCCTTAAAGAGTGAAAAGATAGAACACTGGTTGTTGCTGACTCTTTACATCTTTTCTTCCTCTTATAGCTGCCTATTTTGGAAATGGGACTTACTTTGCCGTAAACGCCTCTTACTCTGCTCACGATACCTATTCGCAACCAGATGCATCTGGGATAAAATACATGTACCTTGCCAGAGTGCTTGTGGGAGAATATTGTGTTGGGTCAAAAGGATTAGTCGTCCCGTATCAAAAAAATGCGACTGATCCAACCGATCTATACGATAGTGTAACTGATAATCTGAAAAAACCTACCCTTTTTGTAATTTTCAACGACATCCAAGCATATCCAGAGTATCTCATTACATTTAAATTTTAACTAACCAAGTTCCATAACTTGGTTAGTTAAACTAATAATGCAAAAAAAAATTGAATTATATATTCATGTGCTTTTGTTAAAAACAAAATGTGTCTGAATGAATAAAATAATGCACTATTCAGAAGATAGGAAACATTCTTTATGTTAAAAATGAAAGTTCAGAAGTTCCAGTTTCTTCAGGATGTGCCAAATATTATGGATAAATTCAGACAAAATAAATGCAAGAAGTTAGGAAAGTTAACAATAACATTCTAGCATGCTAATGAATAATCAAGAACAGTATCATGCAAATGTTAAGATCAGTAACTTATATGGCATCAATCATTTTTAGATCTGTAACAATAGCAAGGGGAAGTGAGGGCCTGTAAATGGATCACAGACAGGTGGGCCAGTAAGATGGCAATGATGAAGATGCTGAATTTGATGGAAAACTTCACATTCAGATTCACCCTGCCATTGTCGTTCAACTCTGCCTACCTCATAGTGCTGTTGTGGGGGTAAAATTCATGGAGATACTTACCCTCTGACACATGGAGAAAAGATGGGATGTCAATAATAAGAAATTAATGAAAATTAAACCAAATGCCTTAAGAAATACTTTTCCTTGCTTCTTTGTCAAAAATGAATGCATTCAAATGTTGGGGTACATTACTATAAGCTTGGGTTTAGATGTTGCCTTCCCGCATTGGATTTTGCCTTGCGATATTGAATAATAGTCTTTGCTCTCCTCCCCACCCCCATGTCCTTAATTCTTGAACAACAATGAACAATAACAGTTGGAAGGGACCCTGGAGGTCTTCTAGTCCAATCCCCTGCCTATATCGTTTGGCTATCCAACATCTTCTTAAAGACTTCCAAGGTTGGGGCATTCACAACTTCTGAAGGAAAGCCGTTCCACTGATTAATTGTTCTGTCAGGAAATTTCTGGTCAGTTCTAAGTTGCTTCTCTCCTTGATTAGTTTCCACCCATTGCTTCTTGTTTATACACTCAGGTGCCTTGGAGAATAGCTTGACTCCCTCTTCTTTGTGGCAACCCCTGAGATATTGGAACACTGCTATCATGTCTCCCCTAGTCCTCCTTTTCATTAAACTAGACATACCCAGTTCCTGCAACCGTTCTTCATGTTATAACTTATAGAGGTTGGGGAGGAACATGGACCAGTCCTGGAGGCTGGGGAAGGCCCGGACAAGGGCTCTGTGTCAGAGGCAGAAGTGGGACCAAGGTCATCTGGCAGTTCTCAGCTGCCTTCGGAACTAGAAGTAGTGAGGTAGAGGAATAGTTGGATCCTGTTCCCAGTGTGCACACAGGCAAAGCTACAAGAATAAAAGAACAGCTGAGAAATCAGGATCGACTTGGGAGTAAA